AAAGCAAAGGAAAGAAAGAGGAATCGGAAACCCTAATTGGGGAATGGTGGAAAGGGAGTGGGGAAGAAAGCGGCAAAGAAGAAGAAACCTGAGAAGCCTGAGAGAGGCCATCCAAATGCAACAAAATCTGAGGATCCTTCTTCTCCTTATTGTGCAGTGCAAATTTCTTCAGCTTCCCCAAAGACGACTTCATCTCTAAATCAGATTTACTGTTTCTTTCAATTCAATGATCTCTCTCACCTAAACACGCGCGCGCACAAACACAAACACACACACACACACACACACTCTTCTCTTTCTCTCTCTGTGGGGAGTATAATTTTGACGGGCTGCAGTATGCCGGAGAAGAATTTAGATTTTATTAGAATCGAAATAAAATAAATTAGTAGTATAATTTGCAGTAGAGAGGAAAAAAGGAGCTTATTTTAGTTTTACCAAAGAAAATTCTAATGTCATGCGCCCAAGTCAGAAAGGCAACTGTCTCTCTTTGCTAACACGTCTCTACTTTGACCCATCTTTCTAATTTCGTCTCCGCTTCTACTAGGTACAGTTACTGCATAGTAGTTACGGGGTTACTCTGATGGTAAGCAACCTCCACTTTCAACCAAGAGGTTGTGAGTTCGAGTCTCCCAAGAGCAAGGTGGGAAGTTCTTGGAGGGAAGGATGCCGGGGGTCTATTTGGAAACAGCCTCTCTACCTCAGAGTAGGGGTAAGGTCTACGTACACACTACCCTCCTCAGACTCCACTAAGTAGGATTATACTGGGTTGTTGTTGTTGTTGTTGTTTCCATGGTTAATTACCTTTTCCTTAAAAAAAAAACATTTCCCCTTTTATTTTCAGGTAGAATATACCGTTTGTTCCGAATATTTTTATATATTATAGCGAAGTGTTGTTATAAAGAACATATATTATAACATAACATGAAATTTGGTTTCGGAAAAGCTTGGCTTTTATAGTGAAGTATTGTTATATAGGGATGTTGTTATAGAGAGGTCTCGCTCTATATTTAAAGTTATATGTTTATATTTATATTTTGGCAATTTTAATGAATTATCACACATAAATTTTTACTTCTCGTCAAATGGTATGGATTCAATTGCACCCTTCGTTAGCATACTACATCCGGCTCGGCTCTTATCTAAGCATAAGAAACTTCTTTCTATATTAGTTTTTGGACATAGATTTGCTTGAAATTTGAAAAAAAATAAGTTTTTAAAGTCGTATTGAAAAATAATTTTGAAAGTTGAAGTTTGGACGTTATTTTACTTGAAAAAAACTAGAAGTTTTGTGAGTGGATAAAAAAAATTCACGTTTTTGTGAATTTGTAATATTTTTTTAAAAAATAAAATAAAATTGATCCAATTACATGAACTAACATGTTTTCGATTTTTTTTTTTTTTTTTTTGAAAAAGAGTAGCCAAAACGGGTCCATAAATTTATATTTGTTATAAATAGAATTGTATTTAACGTGAATAAGAGATTTTAGGGTTTGTTATTTGGTGGCTAAGTAACTTTTTTCCTATAAATAAAAGATTCTTTTTCATTGTGATTCATTCTAAATCAATAAAAAAAAAAATATCTCCCTACTTTTCTCCGCAATATTCTGCTTTTCTTTATTGTTTCATAACAATATTCATATTTCGATTTAAACTGGTGAAATTGAGGCATAGCTATTATTCTCGTAATTTTCAAACTTATATACCAACAATAATTATATAGTAGAAGAAATCATTCTTAATAAAGAACATTTTAGCATCCATAATTGGCGTGTTGTAGCTACTAATATAACATGCGGTACATGCTACACGTGATTAATTTAGAGAGAGATGGACGGATGAACAAGTCCCATAAGAAAAGGCCCAAATAAAGGAAAAGGAAAATGGACTTATAGCCTGTTTGGCCAAGCTTTTTTTTGGTCGAAAGTATTTTTTTTTTGCCAAAAGCATTTTTGACCAAAAATTAAGGTGTTTGGCCAAGCTTTTGGAAGGAAAAAAATGCTTTTGAAGAGAAGCATAAGTAGTTTTGGAGAAGCAGGAAAAAGTAGTTTCTCTCAAAAAGCACTTTTTTGAGAAGCACTTTTGAGAAAAATACACTTAGAAGCAGTTTTTAAAGCTTAACCAAACACTAATTGCTGCTCAGAAGTGTTTTTCAAACTAATTAGCCAAACACAAACTACTTCTCACCAAAAGTACTTTTGAGAAAAGCACTTTTGAAAAAAAATATTTCTCAAAATAAACTGATTTTTGCAACTTGGCCAAACGGGCTATTTGGCCTCAGATTTGGGTAAGTGCACAAACAACCATTTTTAAGTATGCTAATTAGAGATTAACTAGTGATTATTTTGTCCTACAATTTTGAACTAAAAATCTTAACTTCAGGACAATGCAGAATATTTTTGTCCTGAAAAATATAATTGAAAAACTGAAATTCAGGATGCACTGACTAATTTTTAAATACTAACAGCCTTTAGAGTGGCTACCTGTGTCATTTCTACCTCAGATTTGGTGAGTGAATTTACAGGCCTCAATGGTATTCAACTTGGTGGAAAGTTGAGGATCCCAGCCCTTTGGGCTTGGGCTTCTTGCTCGTTCTACTCTCAAATAAGCTAGCCCTACTTCAGGTTTTTCAACGGAAACAATTCGAGACAGGAGGATTTTAAAGTTTGGATTAAGGGTGTGTTTGGTATAATGGAAAATATTTTTCGGAAAATGTTTTCTCATTTTCCACTGTTTGGTTGCACAAAAGAAATTTGAAAAATATTTTCTAAGGTATCACATTTTTTTGAAATTGGAGAAAAATTACTTCCCTAAAAAAGTTAGGAAAATATTTTCCAAAAACTCCACCTANCCAAAAAAAAATATTTTTTTATATATATTCAGTTTTGGTTTTTTCATTTTTTCGGTTTACAGGTTCGAAATTTTACGAGTTCCAAAGTTATGAGTTGAGAGGTTTATGTGTTTGGAAGTTCGTGGATTTAGAAATAATAGAGTTTACGGGTTCGAAAGTTTAGCGGTTCAGAAGTTTATGAAATTTGTGGGTTCGGGAGGTTATTGGTTCGAAAGTTTATAGCTTCATGTTTATTGTATCTAAATTATTTATGAATACTCTTGAGAAGTTATTTTTCTTATTTGTGTACCAAACACCGGAAAATGAGTACTTGTTTCCCAAGAAAATATTTTTCACGGAAAATATTTTTCGTTATACCAAACACACCCTAAATAAATAAAAATTAGTTAACAAAAAGATCATTCAACTTATAGTTTATAATTTTTCCTCAACTTTCATTATATTTTCTATAATATCTTTTAGGAGTTTAAACCAAAAATTGGTGAAGTCTTGGGCGAAAATCATACTATCTATCTATCTATCTATACTATATTAAAAGCACGAAGGCCCTTAGCGAAATATCGTTCGC